TCACCACGAACTCGTAATGCCTATAACGAGTCTGGAATTTGATATTCTCCACGTCCTCCTCCCTAACCCTGACCTGATGGTACCCGAACCTCAGGTCTATCTTAGAGAACCAAGATGCCCCCTGCACCTTATCGAAAAGATAATCTATCCTCGGGAGTGGATAACGGTTTTTCACAATCAATTTGTTCAACTCCTGGTAGTCAATGCACATCCAATGTAAAACATCCTTCTTCTTGACGAAGAGAATCAACGCTCCCCACGTAGAACTGCTCAGACAAATGAATTGCTTGCCCAACAGTTCCTGTAGCTGTGATGATAGCTCCTACATCGGTGGTGGTGCTAATCGATACGACGCCTTGGCAATAGGGGCCGCACCTGGCACTAGGTTGATCCTAAACTCGACTTGCCTCTCCAGAGGCACTCCGAGCAACTCCTCCGGGAACACATCAACAAACTCCCTGACTACTGGAACCTCTGAAACCGAGGTCTGATCACTGACCAACATATCTACCACATATGCTAGATAATCCGCAATCCTGTGCTGACTATATTGTCGAGCCCTGGCAGCTTAGCAGAACCATGAACCCAAACTAGTGCCCTCATTGATAATGACCAGTTCTCACCCACTTGGGGTTCGAACTACCACTCGCTGGCCCTCGCAGATAATCATGGCACCGAAGTGACTAAGCTAGTCCATACCCACAATCACACATACATCCCCCATGGGAATCAGAATCAAGTCAATTGGGAAAGATACCTCGAATCTCTCTAATACACACCCCTAGTAGACTGAAGATGCAGAAACCCTGTGTTCATTGGCAATGGAGACTCGCAACAGACACTCTAGCTCTCCATATGGTAATCTGAACTCCCTACTAAATGACTAGGAAACAAACGACTGACTCGCCCCCGAGTCAAACAATACAAGAGCAGGTAGAGAGTTCACTAAAAATGCACCTAACACATGTACAAACATGTAAGCATATAATAACATAATAAACAATATGAGTTATAGATATATACCCGCAACCACATCCGGTGCTGTCCTGGCCTCCTCGGCTGTAAGTTGGAAGGCGCGTCCCCGAGTCTTCGGAGGCTCTGCTCTACCCTGGCTCCCGTCCTTAATCCTCAATGTAGATAGCGTTGGGGCCTGTGCCGTCCTAGCAGCAAGCACTAGACAGTTATCCTTCACGTGGCCAACTTTATCGCAGTGGATACATATCCTGGAGCTAAGTGTTGGGGCTGCTGGCAGCAATCCCTCGCCATATTACCCTATCGGCCACAATTTTAGCATCCTGATGATGACCAACAAGCACCCTCGAGCGTCTTACCACACTTCCCACAAGTGCGGCCCTTCCGGACCCTAGATCTAGAATAAGCGTTCTTAAACCGCTTTAGCGCCGGCTGCGCCTACACTGGGTCCTACCTCTGCTCCCTCAACTGCAACTCGATCTGCAACTCATGCCACCTAGCGGCCTCCTGTAGCTCCAAAAAGTGTCACATCTCTGGGTCGAAACAAACTGTCTGATTTTGGTCTTGAGCATGCTCAGATAACGGGTCATCTTAGCCTGCTCAGAAGCAAGCTCCGGGTAAAACATTGCCGTTTCAGTGACATACGGCTAATCTCCGTCACCGACTCTAAATCCTGTTGCAGATCCAAGAACTCTCGTGCTAATCTCTCCTGCTTAACCCGCAGAATGTAACGGGTACATAACATATCCTAAAATTGATCCCAAGTACCACAACTCGCTGCTCATCCGAATATGATCCGGTAACCAACCTCCACCAATCCTTCGCTCAGGACCTCAATAGGTTTAGAGTGCACCTGACCTTCTGGTCAGTAGGGCAGGAGCAAGTGAAGAAACAACCCTCTACATCAGATATCCACCTCATGGATACAATATGATCCTGATTCCCGTCAAAAGTAGGGGGCTTCATGTTGTTGAAGTCCCGGTACTAGAAAGCCCGACTGACTCCTCCCCTTGCCACTATAACAACTGCAATAATTGCATAACGCTCATTAAAACACTCAACCATGGCAGTCTTAATAGAACCAATATCTCTGACAACTGTACCCAGAACAGTACAATAACCTCCTCCTGTAGGATCTCCCGAATCCTGGCATCCATTTCATCCGGTCTCATCTAACTCATAGTCTCGGGCACTGCTGCTTCCTCCTTACCGCTCCCTCCTGATCCTGACCCGAAACTAGTCATAAATCTCTACGTAACCACCATGTTCAATATATACCAAGAAGATATAAGGCATTGCATATAATAATCCAGGAACCAACTCCCAACAAATCCCTAGGGGTTGTGACTTCCTTGCTACGCGTACGGGTCATGTGCTTTCAGTAGTACGGGCCTATACTACCTTCCACACCTACCTATATTTGTCTCAAGTATCATCACAACACCCTAACCATATATGTAGGCATGGTGTGCGCTTAATCCTCACTCCTAAAGGAAGGCTAACTATCTCATAACTGGCCTACTGACCCCGTACAACCCAACCATCCATGAAACTTCCACCAACCCTGCAGCACTCGTGTATGCTAGCCATACATAACGTTGGACCCTATAGACTTTTGAATACCTAGTTCTACCCTAAGCCCTTTATCAAACAAGAACAGGAAATAAGGCCAAACCAAATATTCTCAGGCTATAAGATCTTAATTATGTACGGTCGTGATGCATATACTAAGCAACTACAGTAATGATGTTAATTTCATATAAGCAAAAAAACCCTAGGATATCAGGCATCATATAATTAGACAATTATATCATGCAATTCTTGAAGATCCCTAGCCTAGTACTAGCATGATGTTCTAATATATCATAATAATAAATTTTTGTATGGTATTTTGGGGTCTACTTACTAGCTCTAGCTGATCGTACACTTAACCTCCTCCTTTAGTATTTTGAGAGCCATTTAAAAATTATTTTAAAAATCCTTTCCTTGGTTTGAGACTAGATTCATGCAAGTGTTCCTCCAATTCACTCAAACTAAGCCTCTGACACTAACTTGAAACGTCCATAAAAATCATGCCAATTTAAAACTTTTTAAATCATTCAAAAACCAACCATTATTACAAATTTGTTTTCAAAATAGTTCCATATCATAGTATCCCAGAAAAAAAGTCATAAAATGCAAGGAGGTTCACGATCACACCTTCACCTTCCCGCAATCATCCAAAGGATCTGAAACAAAATCCAAAACTATAAGCCCAAAGCTTAGTGAGTCCCCTCAAAATACCGATACATAGCAAATAACACATATACAAATCACAACATTTAATGGATCCACAACTCTACAGACTGGATTACCCTTAAGCCCACAGTGTGAGTCTGGCTTGCCTTTCAGCCCCACTGCACACATCTGGCATGCCCCCGAGACCACATCATAAGTCTGGATTGCTCTCGAGCCCACAACTTAGGTCTGGCTTGCTCCTTTAATCCTTGGACTGGAATAAAAAAGATTAGCAAATATTATGAGTTTGGCATGCCCTGCATGACCCTCAACTCGTATCTAGAATGCTCAGGATTCCTCGTTAGGAGTCTGGCATGCCCTGACCGACCCTCAGCTTATATCTGGCATACTCTAGGGTTTTTTGGCTACCGTACAGAGCAGTACAACCTCAACCCATCCCACACAACATGTCGACATATAACACAGGTAGTCCTACAGATCTACCAAACTAGCATAGCAAACTAGCATGCACAACTAACTCATACTCAACATATCACCAACTACTAGGATATCAGATCCAATGGGTTGGCCTTAGTGCCTTCGACCCTTAAGTATAGTGAGGACACTCACCTCGCAAGTAGCTCGGGATGATAAATCTCAAACTCCCCAAATACAACTCCAAACTCAACCACCTACATCCACCAATGATTCATTTTCATAAATTCCCAAATTACTAAAGTACCCCTAGAAGTCAAACTGGTCAACCCTTGGTCCAAGTCAACATCAACGGTCAAGGTCAACAATCCAAGTTGACCCTACTCGTCGAGTGTAGCCCACTGACTCGTCGAGTCCTTCCAGAACTCGAGATATCGTGAAAACCCTAGTTGACTCGCCGAGTTCCCAGACAACTTGTCGAGTCCATGTGGTGTGCAAAAGTCGGGAAAACCCTAACCGACTCATCAATTCATCTCAGTGACTCGTTGAGTCCATTCAGAAACCAACAACGACCAATCTTCATTTGACTCGTCGAGTTGACCATGCAACTCGTCGCATCCCTTCAGTCTATTTCTCATTCATACGTTTCTAAGCTACCTCAAAGCTCCAAATTCCAGATCTATCCTCCTAGGGCATAGTTTCCATGTAAAGTTGCAAACTTTACATGTATGTAAGGTCTTAAATGCCAAAACCAAGCTAAGGGAGAGGTTTAAACCAAAGAGAAGGGACAAAGCTTGGTAAATTCAATAACTTTATAACTATAAGGACTTAGAGGAGTCCATATCTGAAGTTACAACTTCAGATCATGCCCAATGCCCGAAATGATCGACAAATATGCTAAAATGGCCTTAAACCCAATAATAAGGATATCTAACACTACAATGATCAAAGTAATGGGTTGTTACCTTCAAATGGAAGCCAAAACTATGTAGATGTTGGATCTACAAGCTACTTCCCATTCCAAGCTTCTCAACCTTCAAACTTCTTCAACAAATGCACAAAAAACACTCTCTTAGCCTCACAAGCACAATGAAGTAGTAAAGAATGGATAGGGTTTCCTTCTCTGGGTAATAAGGTGATAAGGGAGGCCAAAGGATGCAGACTAAGTCCTTTAAATAGGGTGCAAACCCTAAAAATTAGGGTTTTCCCATTTAACTCCTACTCGTCGAGTTGGGGTCCTCCAACTCATCGAGTAAACCTCATAAATCATGCAGCATGATCTGCTGCTACACGACGAGGTTTGGCATCCAACTCATCGAGTAGGTCCAAGAATGTGACTAATAAGCTTTAAATTTTTATACCTTGGAGTCGGGGTGTTACACCTGGTAATGTATAAATCTTCATACCCAGAAAAGATCCAAAACCCATATTTCATACCATTTCTCGCTGATTTTTTTGACAAACTTCTAATTGCTAGATACAACGAGTTCGGAGACATACAAGTACTCAACTTTTGAAATTTTGTTCCTACCTTCCGTTCTTTACATTTATCCTCACATCCAATTACTTTTTTCCCTTTCACGTTAACCTTTTTATCCCTAACAATCGCTTCAACCCTTTTCTTTTTCATTTTGTTATCATTCTTTTCAGAATCCATCTTCTTTTTCATCTCAACAAAATCATTATCACTTCTGTTATTCTTTTTTGCTTTTCCATTGTTACTCTTTTTTGGTGATTTCAGTTTTCGTCCCCCAACAGCTATCCCTTCATCCCTTACATTCATCATAGCATTCTTTCCTTCAAGTACACAGACACTTGATGAACCTGTACATTGTTATCATCATAATCAATCTTACATTTTACAAAAAAAAAAAATTATAGAAGTAAACTTCTTCACAGATTAATTGTACCAACGTATTTGATTACTAGAATATTAGTTTTGAATATTCTGCATGTATAAAATATTATTACCTTTTAGCAAACAACATTTAAGACATACCAAACTAGATTTACCACATACCATTCACTCGTTTACATATTATATATTCAAAATTTATGCATGATTGTATATAATCAGAAATTAATACACATTCACTTAAGCATCACAAAAATCAACAACTTCAATGTTAACATACTTAATACAAAATTTTGACTCCTATACTACACATTCACACGTGCACACTTCTTCATTCATTACTTCTTTTTCTAATATCAAAGTATTGGCCTAAGAGGAAAATAGTTTTGAATATTCACCATAGATAGTATTCTGTTATTACCTTTTACCAAACTACATTTACCACATACCATGCACCCCTTTACCTATCAGAAATGAATACATATTCACTTAACCATAAAAAAATCAACAAATTCAATATTAACATACTCAATACAGAATTTTGACTCGTATACTACACATTCATACGCACAAACTTCTTCATTAAATACTTATTTTCTAATATCAAAGTATGGGCCTAAGAGGAAAACAGTTTTGAATATTCATCATAGATAATATTTTATTAGTTTGAAGCAACCTAGATTTACCATATGCCATTTAATCCTTTACGTATTCTATGTTGACAGTTTAATCATACTAATGATTCCATATAATCAAAGATGAATACATCTTCCCTACAACATAACAAATATCAACAATTTCACTGTTAAGATGCTCAACTGTTTACATCCTTCTTAATCTCTTGCATAATTGTTTACATCCTTCTTAATCAACATAGACTTTAATCAACAACCATAACACATACTCATTAACTCATATTTGAATATGTTTGCATTCCACACATAATACTGACTCATATAATATACATTCATAAGCACAAAATCATTCACAGTTAAGACCCTTTCACTTAACAACGAATAAATTGAAAACAAAACCTAATTTCATAACATCCTTGCATTCACTACCAAATACTTCTTAATCACCAACTTCAGTTTTACTAACAAATAACAAATAAAGCCTAATTTATCATAAACCCTCAACAAAAAAACCCTAAATACAAATGTACATAAAAAAATATTTATGTTACCTGATTTAATGTACAAGATATCGACTTCATCATGATTGATAGCATTTTCAGCCGTGTTAGTAAACTTTGATTGAAAGCACGAATTCATCATTCTTGGACTCCTTCGTAAGCTCTGTGATATTGTCCACCTCATTTCGCTTCAAATTTATAACATAAAATGATTAACCTAATCTCTTGGAATTTTTGTTGAAGATTCTGTGAAGATCGTTTGAGCCAAATGGAAACGATTTGGGTAGATTTTTCCGCGAGGGTATATCGGGAGCCTTTTTTTATTTGATAAAATTACCTTTTTTATGATTATTAGCCATTACATAATTCTCATTAAATACGTATAAATCACTGTTGAATATTTTCCCATGCCAAAATCACGATAGAATACATATTACTCACGATTAATTAATCTTGACCCTTATATACAAGAAATCTAATGGCTGAAATTTGACCTCATGTTCTCACTTTAAACTGTGTCCTTACTTGAACTGTCCCATATATATATATATATATATATATATATATATATATATATATGTGTGTGTGTGTGTGTGTGTGTGTGTACTCACCTTTCACACCTTACTTTTTTCTATGTCACGCCAGTTTTTCACTCACTTACTTTCGCTCTTCAAAATCCACAAAATGGTCACCTTTCACTACATTTCACTTTTATGTTTTAAAAATAAAATTAACTTAATTTTAAAGTCTACAATTCAAACAAATAAATAGAATTAATTAAAAATGATTAATAAACACAAAAAGTAAGTAAAATATAAGTACTTTGTTACTTAAAATGAAAATTACATAATAAAACCTAGAAAACATAATTAAAAGTTGCATAATAAATAAAAACAAGATAAAATGAAACAGTCTAAGAGAAATATTTTTTTAAGATCTTCTCCCTCATCTTCAAAACTAGTTTTGAGGGGTTGTCTTGAAAAAATGTCATTTTTTTGCATCAAGAATTACATATCTTCCATTTCTTTTATTTCCCCGCACTCCTTTTCTTTTTTGGCATATTTTTCTTTTTCAAATGTTAAACATTCATCGAAATTAAGATTGTATCGATCAAATGTCTTCTTCATTTTTTGCATTTTGTCCACTTCGCTGTTGAAATATGATGCATTGGAAGAAGCCCCCCCTCCCCTTCCTTTTTTGCTTTTTCTTTACCTATCGGTTGGACAAATGTTTCTAGCCTTAATTAGTCATCGTCATTTATATCTAGCTCAACACAAGCATCGAAAGAAGTTGTGTATCCACTTGAGCCTGATTTTTGTCTTTTTTTTGGTACTCCTCCAAGTAAGACTTTAGCTTCGAGTTCTCTCCATCTTTAACAAGAAGATAACACTTTTCGACAGTCATTAAACTTGAACATCTCTCCCATTTCGTCGGGAAACAAATGCAAAGCCTCTTGAAGAATTTATTCAACACCTTGACCATTAATCCTTTGGGTTTTTAGGTTGTGGTATAACCCGTTCATCTTCTAAAACATCTCGTGATTTTTAGCCATTTTGAATTCAATTGGTGTTTAGTACGGTAGTTATCACCTTCACCCAACTCCTTGCGAAATCTTTCAAGAATGCGTACCAAGAAGTGGTTATGCGCTTATACATTTGCTTGCTTTGAATCCTATGAAATGTCAACCCAAGATTGTGTCAATAGTAACTCTTCTGTCAGACTCCATGCTTGTCCTTTTTCTTCTCTTCCACCCATTGTTTTCCTTTACGACGTGGATAAGGTGAGTAAGGTTGAGTATCTTGTACGACTTCGTCATCTGAGTCATCGAGGCTTTGGGTTTGTTGGTGGCAGGGTGAGGTTTAGGTTTATGGTTGATATTGATAGGGTAGGGTTTGACTTTGGGGTTTATTTGATGAAAACTGATCTGAAAAAACGAAAAAGTTGTTCAACATGTTGCGACTAACATTTGACACTTTCATGAGGTAGTATTGTCTAACATTTTGGTATTGAAATTCTGGAGGGGACTGAATGGGGGCATCAAGTTAAGAGGATAAACCAGAAGCGATGGGTTGAAGCTAGAAATCTTTCTAGTTGACATAATTGAACTAGATAGGGCCGACCTTATACATATTAAAACAAAGTTAGGGCTTAGGGCCCCCACATCTAGAGGTCCTTACAAACCAAGGAATCCATGTAGTATATCCCTATTCCGGCTAAGGCGTTAAACGGCTAAAAAAACGATGCTTCTTCTTCCACTGCATATGTATTCTGTGTTTGCCTCATCGCCTGTTCCGCTTGATCTTCTTCTTCTTCTTCTTCTTCTTTTTCTTTTTTTCTTCTTCTTCTTCTTCTTCTTCTTTTGAGTTCTGATTCACGACACAACTGCATAAGGCTTTCAAGTTGAAAGTTCCATCTGTTCTTTGGCTTCTTCTTTCTCCATTGAACCTGTTTCTTCATTCTCTATTGAATCCTTCTCCAATATCCATAAACGGTAATATATGACTTCTTCCAAGCTCCATGATCGGTTCGTCTTCTAATCTTGTTAACTTGTTTCCATGTCATATGATTGTATTATAGACTTGTAGTCTTGTAGTCAAATGACATGAAATTGTTTTCAAATTTCACTGAATTTGTATATTGGATAAGGTTACTTTAGATTTTATATTAGATTGATAAAAATTGTGTAGACCAAATTACCAAAAGTTAGCCAAAAGTTGCAAGACTTTAAACTAGTAAGCAAAGTTTATGCAGAACACCAAGATCAATAAGAATGGCCATAAACAATTACTCAATGAACCTTGAATTTTAGTTTGTATTATAAGTTATTTTTCATTTTTTTTCATTATTAGAAGAGTTAAATAAACATGTTGATAACAATTCATTAGCTAATGGATCATGGCTAGGTGTTAGATCATTAGCATGTCTCAGCATTAAATATGTACACCACTAAGTAGTGATGAGCATCAAAGCATGTGTGCTTGTCACTATAATGTTATAACTAAAGATCATACTTAATCCCTTATATATATTTATTTTAAAGCTAATTAGGGTTAATAGTTATTACTTATTACTTGATACTTTTTAGATTTCAGTTTTTTATTTGTTCAGTTATCTAATTTTTTTTATCCAATTGTTCATTGATTACAACCGATTATAAAATATACAATCATTGAATGTCAAAAGGCCCCAAATTTTTGGTTCGTTTAGATCCCCCAAACTGGTTGAGTCGGCCCTGGAACTAGAAATACAAGATTTTCTTCTATCCAATTTTAGGATTGGGTAGTTGGGATTGTTGATTCATATTTGTTAGAACTAAAAAGAAAATGATATGAGAAAATGTGATTTGATTGTAAAATAAACAGGGCATGTATAAGGTTGTCAAATTATATAGAAAAAAACAAAACAAAACAAAGTTTTAAACTTCAAATTTTTATTGGTAGGATTTAAAAATAAGATTTTTTTAACTGTTAAGGGAGGGGAAATTCAAGAAAACAAAAACAAAAATATAAACAATAAATAGGTGGAGCCAATCACACCAAGAAAGATAAAGCGATAACGGATCACCGCATCTTTGTTTCCTGCTCCCTAAACTGCATCCAACGTGTAGTGTTCTGGTGTGAGGTTCCAGCCATTACATACCTTTTCCACGGTACACCTTACATACTTAGAGCCTTAGGGCACCCCCAACCTACCCCCAAACTCCATTGTTTCCTCTGTTTCTTCTCCCATTCTCCGTAAACCCTACCCTACTTCCATTTCCATTTTCGGAGATATGAATAGTATTCCCCCATATTTGGGGGAATACTATTCATATCTCTAAAAACAGAGTTGAAGTTTCGGTTGCCAATTTTAGTCCCTCTCATTTTTTATACCATCCCAAAAATACAATCTAAAAATTTCATTTTAAATCATTAATAAAACCATAAATATCATTCATCATATAAAAATGATAATTAGTGTATCTCAAAAATATCATAACATCTGTCAAATATATCAAAGTATAAACATCCCAGGCTAAACGAATGATGTGTGCACTGCAATCATCCTGAACTCTTTCCCTTGCTATCGGAAGTAACTGTAAGCACGAAACTTAGTGAGTCTCCCCAAACTACCACATACCATACACATAATCATATAATAACATACAGTGGGCCTTGCTCGCTACATCGGGCCCCGCCCGGCATCAGACCGAAATCCGATATACATATAAACATATCAACAATACATATAACATATACACATAACATAAACATAACTTGGGCCTAGCCCACTACATCGGGCCCTGCCCGACATCGAACTGAAGTCCGACATCATGCCTCGCCCGTCCTCGGACCGAAATCCAACATCAGGCCCCGCTCTACATCGATCAAAGCTCGGTATACATAGGCATATCAACAAATTTATATAAACATAAACATATAAACATTCCTTGGGGCCCACCCGACATTAGACCGAAATCCAGAAGCCTATAAACATTCCTCGGGCTTGCCCCGACATCGGACCAAAGTCCGAAAACATACAAACAGACACATGCAAGAATCACGAAGACATAAACCAAACAAAGATTCCTCGGGCTTACCCCAGCATCAGACCGAATTTCGGAAACATATAAACTTACATCAGGTACAGACCGACATCAGACCTTAGTTCGAGATGTGCTAACATACATAAATGGGCCGACATTGGTGCCTTTGACCCGTTCCTACTGGAGGAAAACTCACCTCAAACTGTTGAAGTCCCGCGAATAAATCTCTAACTACTGGCTGACAGTTCTCGAACCGTCAACATCAAAACAAAACCCAATTAACCATTTGTGTTTCAATGCATAACCATAAACCCACACTTAGGGTAAAAGGACCATTTTACCCCTAACCTAGCTTGGTCCAAGACCAAGGCCCAAACTCATTCTATGAAGGCCCAAAAGCCAAACAATGAACTAAAGCTCAACATATGGAAAATTGGGCCCAAACCTCTATATGGTCTTAACTTTAGACCTAACCATTTATTCTAGTCCAAACACTTGGCATTCTGAGGGTCCAATATCTAATAATCATCAAGGCCCATTTATGGCCCAATTTTCTAAATTGCGCCTAAACCTTTCCAATGGGCCTTATCCTAAAGCCCAATCCAAATATTCTAGTCCATATACTTGTTAATAGTTGGCCCATCAAGAGTCTAGACATC